GAGTATATTGATGGTCTCAATGGAGCTCGCAATACTTTTAAGGTCGGCAACAGCAAGTCCGGTGTCCTGCGCTACGCACCAACCTCGGTACATAGGCCCATAACATGCCTAACCACCCACGCATGTGTCCGCTTTCAACGCTACCACCGCATCGTCTTGATTACCATGCAGTCTCAATTCCTCCATCAAATTTGGCTCACCGAGCAGCAGCGCTTTTGCCACAATTTTCCATCTCAACACAACGCCTTCATCGATCTCCAATGGTTGCAGAATCCAAACCCTCGACGTCATGCAACTCGCGTTAAGCAAATCAGTAGGGATTGCAGCTTGAAGCTCCTCAAACTTAGCATCTTTCCAGTCTTCCTTAATGCTCGTGATAGTCATGAGAGCCTGACGCCCATCCATGGTGCATTGCAAGCGGAATGAAAGAGATCCAATGTAATACATTGAACGAGGATCGGTTACCCAGGTCAAGAAGATGCTGGCGTCATCCAAGTCAAATGCATTACTCTCCAACGTTTCTGGACTTGCATATCGTCGTAGTTGGTCCAAAAATCTTTGTGCTGGTATATAGAGGGCGGTGTTTGGCTGCAGATCTCTGAAAATGCCTTGGTTATAGTTGGGGTGTACAACATCACATTTTAGCTGCTCCCATAGATTGGCAGTAAACTGAATACCATTACTGATACAAGTGGCGATGAACCTTCGTCGGTGCTCGTCGCATTCGCTGTCCGTCTGGGCGGCAGGTAAATGCGATTTGCTTGCATCAGCGACATACTTTGCCGGCTCTGTAGTTGGTATTGTGCCAGGGAAAACTTGACCAACAGTGTCCAGCTCGAAGCTGTGATCTGTTGGTGTACTGAGCCTTGGAAGAAAAATCATGTCGATTTTGATGACTTCGGTCGAAATCTGGCGGATGCCCTGCACACTTCCTAGAAGAAATTTTGGAATTATAGTATCGCCAGTACCGAGGCTTCGCGAAAGCCACGTCTTATTGCCCATGAGTCTGATCGATGTGGGGTCCGTCACACTGAGTGGGTATGTCTCTCCTGCCGCGAGGGCGAGAAGTGCGCTGAAATAGAGTACCTCGTCTTTGTTGTTCAATGCCTCGCCGTAGTATGCGAGGGCACGCCCACTGATGTTTATCATGATGCTGATGCGGTCTCCAAGATTCTGACAGCCTTTTCGAGCTACGCTGTTATGAGAGGCCATGATACTCGATGTCATGGTCGCTGTAGGAGGTCCGCCTTGATTAGCAAAGCCCGAGAAGATTTCTCGGCCCTTGAAGGCGTTTAATGTGATATTGTTCTCGTGAGACGGCAAGTCTATCGCTGTAGACATGATGACTTGGAGATTTACCCACTTCATCTTGACTATGGAATCACCGGGTCCATTCATGAAGAACGTCGCATTGTGATTCCTGTAACGCTGCCTTTTGTCGCTCCATGGTTCGTTGACGTTGAATTCATGGAAGCACCAGGCACAATCCCACTGCAACGAAAGAATGAGCAAGTTAGCGTGTGCTTCAGAATTCCCTTTTTCTTGAAGCTTCACGTACCCATCTCGCTGTGTTGATCTTCTTGTAGAAAGACAAATAGAGCGGTCTAACCTCCGGCTCAGGTAACCATGACTTATGCCACTGTATTTTGGTGATTTCAAAGTTCTCCACAAGGTGGGTCTCCGCCTCAGTAAGTTTCACGTCTTCTAACAGAACCAATAGACGCATGCATGATCGATAAATCACATCCATGGCAGCAACAGAAATTTGCTTGTCGAGAGTGTCTTCTTGTTCAATACAGAGCTGATCAATCCAAAGTCCTATGCGAGGACTTTCTTTCTCACCCAGAATGGCATCTACAAAGGGCTTGCTGAAAGGCCAACGATCGTGCGGTTCATAGTTCGGGTTCGGATAGTCGCCTGAATGCCAGCAATAGGAGATCGCGAAATACTGTCGTGGATACAGGTCTTTGTCGAAAGCCCCCCGAGCGCCTGAAGGAAAGACCAGACGGAATGGTGTCTTCAAGATGGTGGTAGTTGAGCGTTGGGAAAACTGAGCAGCGACATCTGGACACCATGAGGTCAAATTTCGAAGGATGAGGCTGGCCTCCTCTTGACCTTCGTCGAGCTTGGAAAGGCCAGGCTCAAATACTTCCGCTTTGTTCTCTGGGGAGAGTGTCAATTGAAAGATGTGGTCGCTGATGTATTCAATGCTCGCGTCTCTGCTGGCCACAGTCCTTGCGGTGGTAGATTGCGTGTCCATGTCGGCGGACAGGCGTTTGATGTGTGAGGCTCAGCCGTTCTTCTCCCCATCGCCGAGGATTACAATCGCGGGGTAAGCCACAAAGCTCACCATGGACCTGATCTTTCTGCATGTGTCTGAAAGTGGCTGGGAAGGGGCCCTAAGTGGAGACCCCTCGGGAAGACAGTCGGCGCCAATCTATGCCTGGACTAGCGCGCCAAGCAGAATCTCGATGACATCGAAAATTTGCCCGGCCTCCCTTCTGTTTCTTCACGCACCATCAGACAGTTCAACACCCATCTCACCCGCATCTTTACGTCTTGTATCGATGCGACCCGAGATTTCCTATTGGGTGATTGCGATATAGCGCTGCGGAGAAGGAACCAAGCGATCCATTAGAGCTGGCTGCGCATTTTTTCGGTTGCGCAGGCGGTGTCATAGGAGCGGTACATACACAACCCATAATCGTCGTGATTTTGAGCAGATAACTCGAATGACCGAGAGCTTTCAATGCTTGTTCAAAGTTGCGGATGATAGTTATATGGCCATCTGCAGGATAGTCCAAATTGTCGCGCTCGTCGTAATGTTGCGCCTCACGGGCGCGTGCTATTACCGGCGTGCATGTCTTTGACGTGTAGTCTGCTATTATATCGATGCATCTCGTCAGCTTCCAAGTGATCAAAGCGTATATTCTGCCATCGCCGCCGTCGCGCATGTGGGCGATTCACGAGATACCTAGGTATGATCTCTTGTGGTTCTGCGACTAGGGCTTACCTTGGCAGCTTCGAACCAAAATGCACGATGAGAAATCACAACCTTTTAGACACAGAAGACCTCAATAAACTTTGTTGGATAACTTTAGGTTGGAACGCTCAAGCCTCCTGCCTGTACGTCATATCAACAGCGACATGTCCCTTGTACACAAGGCTTTCATCTAGAATACCGCGAATGTCCTTGAGCATTCCTTACACGAGATACCTCGGGTGGTCCTCTCTATTGATGCGCTGCTCATCAGTTGGCTGGCAGTACACCGGGATCTGGAAGCTATATCCACTAGGGTTCTCCACAGCACCGTCCGGCAAGAGCTGAACCCGTGGCAAGAACTGGACGACTTCTCGCAATGGATTCGGGAAGTTGTCAACTGAGACCGCCCACTTCAGCGGCGCGACATTTGCGAAGCCACTTGCTACTGCTGCCTTCAGTCCATCAGGACTCTTAGGGCCAGAAGCGGGTGTGGGTTCTGCATCGTCGAGTTCCTTGACAGTGTCGTAGAGAAGACCTAGATCTGGCGATAGATCATCGATTGTGTCGTCATCCTCCCAAGTTTTGCCAACGAGATCGAATAATCGATCACCCTGGTTGAGGTCCTCAGTCAACATTTCGTAGATCATGGCTACCATGCTCAGCTCCATATAGCGTTGATCATCAAGAAGTCCACCGCCACCGCTGAGAATAGCGAGCATACCGTAGTATCCAAACATTGATGTGCCACGAGGATGTTTAAGAACCAAGTCCAAGCGCCCTTTCATCTTGGCGATCGCCATATTGAACATGAGCGTCACTCCAAAGGTGACATAGAGGAAGCCGGCAAGTGACCAAACGGTGAAATCAGCAGGCGGTGGAGCCATTTTTAGCCAGTAATCCTCAAGAGTGCATGCGCTAGAGTAGCACATGTAAGCATTTGCGTATAAGCCTTTCGTGAGATACTCGTCGCCCCGGTGTTTGAGCCAAAGGAGAGATGATATCCCTTCTCCCATGAGCTCGATAGGCAATTTAGCGTTCATGTCTGCTTTCGAGAAACCGACCGACTCTCGCGCTTGATGTTCATGCTGCCCCTGTATAAAGTCCGCAGACTTCTTAGCAAGATGGCTATCTGCGTGTCCAGTAATGGTAGTCTTGTGGAGGACATTCCACATGACGTGAAACTCTAAGATTAGATGTTGATAGCGCTCGAGCTGTTGGCCATGTGCGACAACGATCTCAGATTTCATGCCATGAACACCAGGACGCGCACGTACGCCATTGGAGATTGTAGTCCCTGGGAATTTGCGGTAACAATAGGCTAGGTCATTCATGCGAAGTACCTGCATGAAACCAGGTAGGTCTTTCTCAAGTACTAGCAGGGACATCGAGATGTTTGCATCAGTCTTGACCATGCGTGTAACATCCTCTTGGGTTTCATCGCTGGCATGTGGAAACTCTATCTTGATGTGCAAACGCCCAGCTGGAGCTTCCTGAGGTATGGGCCGTAGACTCAGGTTCAGATATCCGTCCGGGAGTGTTTTGGTGGCTTTGACATGACGAATATTGATGTATTTTACACCAAGCCAGTGTGGCTGAATTGCGAAAGCACCCCAGTTGATGTCGAATCGTATCCAAGACAGCATGTGATGCACATAGCTCTTCGCGAGCTGATGGATGCTCTTGCTGATGCGCAGAAGGGAAGTTTCGAAGCGGTAACCGCCGAACGCGGTGTCGGACTCGTCGATCTCACAATCGTAAGGATTATAAACATAGCTCAAAACGCGGTTGAAGAGCTCTGCGGGCAGAGACTCTAAGTGAGAGACGGAAGTTGGGGTGTTCATTGTGGCTGGTTGAGTGTAGTCTGGCTGGTTGAAGGTATAATGGACGCAGCATAGGCCACCGAATCCCATTTTTATATCGTCCGGCGCAAACGGAGCCTTGCTCCATCCAAGTGTTGCCTTACGTGTAAGAACCACCTGTCTGTGCGCAAAGCAAGCTACGTCCGTTAGGCAAACTCTCACGCAAGATCGACCTCCCGCCCCTTTCTTTTCAGGATGACTTGTATGCAGTCAACCTTGGCCATTCCATCTTGACCTTTCATCTGCTGCTCCATATCCTTGGCTGCCCAAACATGTTCGATATCGCGCATGACGCGTTTCAAGCTGGGGAAATGCTTCACAGCATACAGCTTTTCAAACCGATCACGGACGAATTGTCGTTGTGTGCTGTCGATCGCTTCGCAGCCCGCGGTGAACAGCGGCCACATATGCGCTGATGTTAAAGGCGAATGGATGTCGACTTGCTGTAGCTGTGATAGACACTGATTGATATGTTCCATGCTTATCGGGTTGGGAGCACCTATATCAAGCCAGGTTCGGTAGAGGTAAATGAAGGCGGCGTGGCGATAGGCTTCAGCTGTCGAGCTAATGTCTATGCGCTCCTCGCTGTCCCCCCTCTTACATGCAACGAATTCCATGGCTAATAGAATCTGCTGGATATGTTGACCAGTGGTATTTTCATCTTCCGACAAAGCAGGGCTTGTTGGCGACAGGGCTCTTCTCGTCCTGATAGCGTGTTGCAGCTGACTGATCTTTGCAACGACCACTAGGACTTTTGCGATACTTTCTAGCTCTTTCTCCCCTTCGATGGCGACAAAGTCCATTTCATGATCCAATAATGGCTGCGAGCCTCTCGACACGGAAGATAGAATATCGTGGTATGCAAACAGGCTCAGGAGGAAGCGAGCACTAGATGTGACAAGCCAGCTGCCCCCACTGCGCCCTGTTATCATGGCTTTGGCGCCAGTCAGATGGTTCGCGACGTTGGCTTCATCCTCATCGCCAAACAATCGCGCCGAAACCTGCATCATCATGACAGTGGCCAGCGCTGGCTCAGTATCCATCTTCACTGGATCTTGAATCATCCTTTGAAGCTCTTGAATTGCGTCTCGTTGATGACGGTAGCCTTGTAGGTGAAGTGAAGCATCGTTTGATGCAAATGCGAGATGATTTGCAGCCATTGAGAGGACTGTCGATCTGAGTGCTGGCGATTCGTAGGCCATGGCCGTCAAATGCCGTTGGAATGGTGTCGCGATGCAATTTTGAGGTGAAACCGACAACAGCTTTGAGAGCTGTTCTCCCCAATAACTAAGGAGCCATCGATCGGCTGGAGATATCCCATAGGACAGCACAGGGCTGTTGAAGGGTAAAGCAGGCATACTTTTCGCCGAGTCAGGCGATGAGAACAGTACATCTGGACTCGTAACTGCCGATTGTATGGATTCGAAGCTGATAGTCGACGCTGGGCTGAGTGCTTGGTCATCGTTGATAGCCTTCTTCTTCCGACTCTTCCGTGGTGGTTTTGCCAATGAATTGGCGGCGTCGTCCTGCCATTTCAGCTTGACTCCATAGCCTTTGCAGATGATGTTTAGTCTTGTGCAACGCCCACAAAAAGGCTTCACCTCGTCACACTTATATCCAGCCCCCCGACAAGTCCAACAGCCGGTCCTGGATCTTTTGTGCGTTGCCATCTAGACGTGCGGCGCATCTTCGGTGCCCTATCACGGTAATGGTCATTCACTAGAACCACCTGAAGTTTGGCATAATCGACTGATGACTCAATAGGTCGCGGAAGTGGGCGATGTATGAAGTTCAGGGGAATTGCAGAACCGTCAGGAACGGAAGGTAAACGGTGGCAAACCGCATTAGTATTAGCTCCCGTATCCATCATGAGCCGAGGCCTGCACTCCTAGCAACACGATAGACGCGAACAGCCCATCTTCTTGATCGAGAAGTGCTATCATTTACAAGTGACCTGAACAGCCAAAAAGCCTGATATCAACCCTGGAACGGTATCTCGCCCTCCTCAAAAGCCCGCACCCATCTGAATATCCCTTCTGCTGGATCCATGACACAGACAAAATGTGTCACCTCATTACACACCGGGTACTGTTTTAACCATTTAATGAGTTTCTCTGGACTCACGCCTACTGCTGCATCCTGCCCTCGCTTCGCTTTACGGCCCTGCTCCTGGGTCCACTCTCGCCATTTTCGCTCTAGACACTGTTTTCGCATGATGCTTTCTTCGAGTACTTCTTGCATGCCAGCATTGAGAAAGCTGTGATTCCGGCCCTGAGTATGGACGGCCTGGCTCTGATAGGCGTGCGGGTTGACTGTAGACTCCAACGATACGTCGTGATTAGTGGTGCTGATAAAGGTTGATGAGCGTAAAATCCTTGCGCTGTGGAAGTCTTTCTCCAGGATGATGGTCTCTGCGCTGGTACAGAAGATCAAATACGCCACTGATGTCTGCATAGTTGCGATGTTGTTGGGTGCGTCAGATGCATTGTATGGCGGAATTAGTGCAGATGACGGATCTCTTCGTTCTTGTAAAGACTTCTTAGAGAGCCTGTGCCGTCTGCGAGGTGCGCTTGACCTAGGTAGAAGGCAATCGCGTATGAGGGTGGAGATGCTCGGTCTCTTCCCCAGAAGCACCATGAGAGTGTTCCAGTAATATTTGATGTTAGGTCCTGAAATTCCCCGGGCGTTGTGATAAGGTCGAAAGTTGAGTGAGACACTCAATCCTTTCCTTACACCTGTAAGTGCACCCACAAAACCAACGTAGCCAATTGTGCTCGCTACCACTCCGCCGCCCACACCCTCGATGAAGTCGAATTGCACAATTGCTTGTCTCAAGAGGGGCATAGACCAATCCAGCGTTCGGAAATGCATCATCGTTGTCTCGGCTTCGGGATCCTTTACCATGACTCCGCCGCTCGTGCAGCCCATGAGAAGGTCCAGGAAGACATTATAAGCGACGAGTAAGTACATTGGCACGCCAGATGCTTCGCTAATGCCCCTGAGTTCCTCAGTCTGTTCGTCACTGTGAAGACGACGTAAGAACAGACGGCCTAAGAGATGAAAAATCCCAGTAGGCAACTTCAAGTGCTGAACGGCTTCATCGTAGAGACACGGCATTTTGCGCAGAACATGGGCGTATTCGGTGGCGACCAACACATAGCGTTCGCGTGGTGGTAGTGAAAGGTTAATGGTGTAGATTGAAGGTGTACTGCTTGCCGATTGTGCAGTTGATTCAGACATGAGGAGGTGACTTTGACTGGAAGATGAATTGGAAGAAAGAGCGTAAGATTGAGGTTTGATGCGAGACGTTCGCGCTCTCAACTGGGGAGGCATGATGTGTTCGAGCACGGGTGAATCTTGAAAGGAAGCCACGCTCGTTCAGCGTTTGAAAGAACAGCTCCGCGGCTTCTACAGAGTTATCGATCCTTGAAGAGCCGCTCACGAAGGCATACGCGCGCTGTTGCCTAATGCTAACAATCATAGCACCTTGGAAGAGCGGGGCGAAGCGCGCCATGATATTCTATCGGATGACATGTCACAACTCATCAGACTCATTCGGATAAATTCAGAGCGAGGGATATATCGACTCGTCGTGATGGTCGCGTGCGAAGACAAACAGACCAAACGCGAAAGATGAAGCTACTACCCCAGCTTTCAAGCTCTCCACATCCGCACCTCGGCTTCCAGAGCATGCTTCCCCGCGGGAGTCCTTAGCCGGCGCAACGGCCAACAATGTCGACGTCGAGCATGTTTACTACTAAGCTCGCGTTTTTCTCTCTTCACGCGCATCCTTTCAATCGTCCCAAGTAATATACTACCTCCAGCTACCTCGTCATGCCGTCAGCAAACCAACCACCTCCACTCGCGGATGTACGCGTCCTTGAGTTTGCAGGACTGGCCCCAGGTAACCTCAAACTCCCTTCGCAAAATAATCCCTAGGCTCCATCTAACAGTCTTCAGGCCCCTTCGCGGGCATGCTCCTAGCAGACTACGGCGCCACAGTCCTCCGCCTCGACCGCGCACCCTCAGCCCCATCCTCCGATCAATTAACGCGGCGCAAAACCTCGATATGCGTGAACCTCAAATCGCCCGCGGGGCTCGCCCTTATCAAGAAGATCATCCCTCAAGTCGACGTGGTAATCGATCCCTTCCGACCTGGCGTCCTCGAGAAAGCCGGTCTCGACCCTGAGCAGGTGCTGTTGAAGTTGAACAAGCGATTGATCGTAGCTCGCATGACGGGCTTCCGTCGGGATGGCAAATACAGTCAAATGGCCGGGCACGATATCAACTACATTGCTGTATCCGGCGTGTTGAGCATGTTTGGCAGGAAAGGGGAAAAACCGTATGCGCCGGGCAATGTCGTGGGAGATTTCGCGGGAGGCGGCGCAATGTGCTTCATTGGTATATTGCTTGCGCTGCTGGCGAGAGAAAGAAGCGGCTATGGACAGGTTGTCGAGGCAAACATGGTTGACGGCAGTGCGATATTGGCGACTATGCCAAGGTTGGGATTGAAGACAGAGGTCTGGAAGAGGGAGAGGGGCACGAATATGCTAGATGGTGGAGCGCCATTCTACGATACATATGAGACAAAGGATGGAAAGTATATGGCAGTGGGCGCGATTGAACCCCAGTTCTACGCCGCTTTACTCAAGGGCATGGGCCTGGAGCCGTCGGATCTACCTGGTAATAGGGACGACAGGGCGGACTGGCCAAAGTTAAAGGACTTCTTCGCCGTCGAGTTCAAGAAGAAAACGCGCGAGGAATGGGAGGCCATCTTCGACGGCACAGATGCATGCTGCACGCCCGTGCTGACGCAGGGTGAACTCGAGACCCAGGGCTTCGATCAACGGCCGGCTGTAACTCTTAAGTCCTCACCTGGATATGCGATACACGATGGTCATGATGGGAGGTCGGCAGCAGAGGGCCAGGGTATAGGAATGGATGGCAGTGGATGGAGCGAGAAGGGCTTGAAGCCTGGCAGTGGGGGCGAAGATACATTGACCACGTGGATGGGATGGACTAAGGGTAGGCATTATGTCGAGGACCAAGGGGGCTTGGTTTGGAAGGACTCTGCAAGGTTATGATCATGTCAAATTCACTACGCATCATCATTTGTTCACATACGCGCTTCTTGTGTTCGTAAATCGCCAGTCAAAGGCTGTACATCTTCAGTTTACACATGTATTCATACAACCCGCAGTATGTCGTCTCGTTGCTTAGGCCCTCGCCTTTCTCGCTTTCGGCTTGCTGGCCTTCTTGCCAGCATTGCGGAGTCTCTTCCTCTCTATGTTCGCCTGGATCCTTGTGCTCCTCTTCCTCCAGGCCGTCCATCGGTCACCCGGCACAAACTCCTTGACCTGCACACCCGCCTTCTCGGCCGCCCGTCCAATCTGCCAGTTGGCCTCACGGTACGCGTATCCCTTGCCAGCGGTCAAGCTCAATCCCTTCCGTGTCGCTTCGCGCGGGGTATCGCGCACGCTGCTCGGGCTGCCTGTGCCGTCGCCAACTTGTAAACCGGTTATGACAACTGCGTCCGCAGAAGGATTCGTTGATGTAGTGATAGGGACGGCGAGCATATTTAAGCGTCTCCGTCTCGCCGCATTTGGTGGGTATGGAAGGGTGTGGTCTTTCTCGAGGGCGACACCAATGTATTGCCTCTTGGGGTGTTTCTTCGGGTCACGATAGTATCGCACGTAACCAGACTCTGTAGCGAAGATGCAGTGGTCGCGGCCGAATTTGCAGTTCTCGCCGGGAAACCAGGCCGTTCCTCGTTGTCGGAAGATGATGTTTCCTGGGATGACATACTCTCCTACAATGCCGTTAGCCAGGCTCTTGACTGCTTCTTCGAACTGTGGACATACCTCCGCTCTTCTTTGCTCCTAAACGTTTACCAGGTCCATCTTTTGCTCCGTTGGCTCGTCCTTGGGCCTGATGCGCTGAGTGCCTGACGAAGGAGAGAACCGGGGTGGGCGCCGAGGTGCCATTGGCCACGCGGAGGGCGTCGAGAACACGTGTAGATGGCGCGATGAATGTCGTAGATGTTGCCAATGATGCGCGGACGGGCGCGAATATCCGTGGGAGCAGCATGGCCGCTCAGTTGCTGGAGAGGCGGGCCTTCGAGTGCACTGCGACTTTTCGAGATGCTCGGTGGTCCGTGCATGCTCCGCAGGCGACTGCTACGCCCGCGCGGTCGCCATGGCTAGTAGAATCACAGCGAGTACAGAGCAATCACGAATTCCACTTGCTGACAAACATTGTATGCATCAACGATAATATGAACAGGCTCAAGACCAAAATCTAGCAAGCTGCACCCAAAACACCTTGCATGTCTTGACAGGATGCCAGACCCAGAGAACACAACCTTGGAAGTCTAGCCGCAAGATCCTCCCAGACACGCATCCTTCTACTGCACTTGGTTGACGATCTCTTGTGCCTTGGAAAGGCTCTCCACCATCTGCTGGCAATCCTTCCGCCTCTTGACAGTGTACTCTGACTCCTTCAGTAGCTCATCGAGCTCGTCCGTCTTGTACATGTTGGTTAGAAGCTCGCCCTGCATGTTTTCCTTGGTCCATTGAACGAGGTTCAACATGATGGCCTTGGGTACCATGTCGATCATTGTCCGACGAACAATGTTGAAGTAGGAGGTAATCAGTAGTTCTGTACATCGTTAGTCAATGTCCGACATCAACGCTAGAGGCGACTTACTAATAACTTCGACTTCTTGTGACTCCTTCTCGGAGAGGGTACCAGAGGCCTTGAGTGTAGGTGGTGGTGGCTCCATAGCCGCCATCTTCTTCTTGTTCTTGCTTGCGAAGAAGGAACCAAAGAAGCCACCACCCTCGTTAGGATCAAGCGAGGGAGATATCGACCGCGGCGGCACGCTAGGTGGAAGAGGCTTTCCAGTCTTGGGATCCACTTGTTGAGGCCTGCTGCTGTTGTGTCGCTCGTGTACGATGGCCATGGCGCGTGAACCATTGATGAAGTCAGGGTGACCAGTGTTGATGTAGACAGACTCCATAGCAACAAGGTCCCTTACGAGCTTGTTAGTGGGCTCCATAGCCTTTTTGAAAAAGCTGACGACGACCTGGTGTAGCTTCTCCTTTAAGCCCGGGTATCTTCGGAAAGCGTTCTTGTTGAGAAGCTGGCTGAGAATTCGGATCAGCTCATCGTAGACGAGGCTGACACACTTCAAGCTGGGTTCCTCTAGTCGCTTAATTTGTTGTTTGACAATGAGCTCGAAAGCAGTAGTACCGACGAACAGCGCTGGCGATGATCCGGAGGAGTTGTAGAGAACCGTCCTAATGTCCATGTCTTTGACCTGGTCGAAAGGATCGACGGCCTTGACACCGTTGGCGTACAATTCGTGGTAGACGAAAGAGATACGAGCACCGCCAGACAGCTCTACTGCAGAAAGCTCTTGGTTGTTGCCCTCCAAGACTCCTCTGTATTCGTTGGTGAACTCCGTGATCATGTTCAAGACAATGTTGGAGCTGTTGCCGAGCATGGAGTTGCCTAGCGAAGCAAGTTCTGCCTGGTACTTTTGTAGTGAGGAGGCGATGCGGGCTTTGATATCGGGCAGCGTTTGCTTGATGTGCATCATAAGGATCTGTAACTGTTAGTTGCTGTGCCGAAGTGTATAGAAGAGACTGAGCCTACCAAGTTCAGCTTGCGCGCAAGGTAGGGTGTACCACAGTACGCTGCCTTGTTTCGATATGCCTTGTGGTTCTCAAAGTATTGCCTTTCGTGCTCGAGCGCGTACGAGATGGCCTTCTTGTTCTCGATATCCCTCTGTCCTCGGTTGACGACTGGTACATAGCCCAACCGCAGTGGAATGATGCGGCCAGCGAGAATGTCCACGACGTCGGTGCCCTCGTCCATCAAGTCAACCTTGGTCAAGACACCGATTGTCCGTTGTCCTTCTGGGTCCACCTCGCGCGCCAGCTTGAGACCATCCGAATTGGCCAAATCGGTGTTGGCAGCAGTGACAGCCAGGATGATTGCGTTGGGCTTGCTGATTTGCTTGAGGACCATCTCTCGGATCTGACGCTCAATATCCCTCGGTTGGTCTCCAACAGGCACCTTTGTTAGACCTGGCAAGTCGACCAGCGTAAGTGTGAGGACGTTTGGCGAGTATATCCTCAAGTTGATGGGCGCGGGCGAGATACCCGCATTGCGACCCGTCTTGGATTCTGTCTCCCTCACAATCTCGTCCCTTATCTTGCCAAAGTCGTGGAACTTCTGGCCAGGAATGTGCAGGAACTCGCCCCACTCGTCGACATTGTTCTCCTGGTCTGTTGTCTTTGCTCCCTCGGGGGTGCCATTCGCTTGCGAGGATGCGCGGTTGATGAGCTGGAGAATGAGCGGTCTTCGGGTGACGATACCGGTTCCTCGGGGCAGGCTGGAGAGCTATCGTTAACCACATGTCCCAGGCCATGGCGCAGCGGTGGGCACTCACAAGTCTCGTCCAACAATGTTCTCGAGCACCGAACTCTTTCCACTAGACTGCGATCCTACGACGGCAATCTGGGGCAAGTCTATGGGGTTTTGGACCTGACTTAGGCATCAGTATGCGTCTTTGGGCTGTTGGTGTAGCCAGTTGCGCGCGGGCGGGCGGAGGGCAGCGACGTACTCCGACTGTGGTGAAGACATCCTGGAGCTTGTTTACGAGAGTAATCAGCCCCGGGTCGTTGACGTTGATGCTGTATAACCATGTTAGCTTTCCGCAATGCGAGGGGCCCTCGAAACATGTGCGTACGCATTTGGGTTTGTCGCCATGGTCGGCGAAGTGTGGGTCGAAGTGGTGCGGATGCCTTCAGTATTCGTGTGTAGAAGCGGGTTTGGGTGTTGGTGGTATCAAGGGCGCTGAAGGCGAGAGTGTCTGAGATCTGGGGTTGTTGCTTGCGGGTTGCGTAGCTGCTGCAGGTGCCAACGTCGGAGAGAGCCCAAGCTTCGATACGCCACACGACTCAGCCCCACGAAATATCCGCGCGACTTGGGGATATCCATGGTCTGCGTACGTCACCAGGCTGTCACAAGTATCAAATCAGAGATGTGTTCAACTACTACCGTGTTCCGCTAGTAGTAATCTAGAGCCACTTCGATAATTTGACTACCATGATGTCGTTCCTCGCGCACATGATGCGCATTGCGGTCACAGGACGCGACACGGCGTCGTCAGCGGGTTCAGGCAGCAGTATCGGTATCTTGGTACAATTCACATTCTACGATCTTTGAGATATACGAGACAGACACGCTATTGAGAAATCGCCTTCGAGCACATGCATTTACTCGTCGACAACCGATGCAAACTTGTCGGTCATCTTCTGCAGGAGTTCCTCGTACTGTTTCGAAGTCAGCGTATGTACAAATCAAAGTGTCACGTCCTGCCGCCAGGCTTACCTTCTTGGTGACTTTCTCCTCTCCGTCGCTGGGCAGCTCGAATTTCATTGAACGGAGCTGGCTCTGGATTTCCGAGGTCGCGTCGCGAACCTTGGGCCATGCATGTCCTTGGGAGACGGCCTTCTGGGCCTCGTCGTGGAAAGCCATCATGTTCTTCATCATCCACTCGGTCTTCCACAACGGACAGAACTGGTCATAGTCCGAGTAGCCGTTCTGCTGCAAGAAGTCCTCCTTGAGTAGCGTGGCCACATCAAGCGTAATCTTGTCACTATCACCCAGCGCGGATTTACCGACAAGCTGCACAACCTGGTCGAGATCGTCTGACGTAGTGAGAAGCTCCTTGATGCGGTCGCGGAGACGAGGGAATTCCGGGTTGTTCTTGGCGTAGTACTTGTCGAGCGGCGTTGTGTACTTGCTGTAACTAATCGATGTGTTGACAGATGGGAAATGCTTTCGCTGAGCAAGCTTCTTGTCGAGACCCCAGAAGACTTGCACAATGTTGAGTGTGCTCGTGGTGACGGGATCCGAAAAGTCACCTCCTGGTGGACTGACGGCACCGACAATCGACACACTGCCAAATCGTTCGGGGCTACCCAGAGCCTGAACACGGCCAGCACGCTCGTAGAAAGACGCAAGTTTAGCACCGAGGTAAGCAGGGAAACCTTGATCAGCAGGCATCTCTCCGAGACGTCCGGAAATCTCACGAAGAGCCTCAGCCCATCGTGACGAGGAGTCAGCCATCATGGCCACGTCTTTGCCCTGGTCGCGGAAATACTACACAGGTAATCGAGTCAGCATACTTCTCACGTGTATGCCGAGCAGTTAAAACTTACCTCGGCAACGGTGATACCAGTGTAGATGGAGGCTTCACGAGCAGCCACAGGCATGTTGGAGGTGTTGGCAATGAGGGTCGTTCGCTTCATGATGGGCTCTTTCTTGCCGTTGACGTCGATAGTGAGCTAGAGCATGTCAGCATGTCGTACACACCATAATCCAATTTCCATACCTCTGGGAAGTCCATCAAGACTTCAGCCATCTCGTTTCCTCGCTCACCGCAGCCCACGTAGACAATAATGTCACTGTTGGAGAACTTGGACAAAGACTGGGAAATGACAGTCTTGCCGCATCCGAAAGCACCGGGAATGCACACGGTACCACCCTGAACACTGGGGAACAGAGAGTCGAGGACACGTTGGCCGACGATGAGCGGCTGGTCGGATGACATCTTCTCGTTGGAAGGACGAGGCACCCGTACGGGCCACTTGTGCATCATGCTGTACTCGGTCTTGGTGCCATTGAAATCGAGCTCCAAGATCTTCTCGTCGACGGTGTAGCTGCCCTTCTCGGCGATGCGGGTAATGGTACCCTTGGCACGGGGAGGCAGCAGAACCCTATGTTCGCTGAGCAGACTGTTCTCGAAGACAGTACCGAAGACGTCGCCACCAGTGATGTGGTCGCCGACCTTGAGGGAACCGGGTGTGAAATCCCACTTCTTCTTGCGGTCAAGAGCGGGCAAGTTGATACCACGGGGAATGTAGATGCTGTTGGCGTCGTCGGCGATGCCCTTGAGGGGACGCTGGATACCGTCGTAGATGGTCTCCATAAGACCAGGGCCCAGCTCGACGGACAATGGCTGCCCGGTCCTGTATACGGGGTCGCCTACGGTTACACCAGCTGTGCGATATTAGCCCGGTCCTCCAACGTGTGTCCTTGCGCGGTGTGCCTACCAGTCTCTTCGTAGACCTGGATGGTGGCCTTGTCGGCCTCGATTCGAATGACCTCACCGACGAGGTTGTCGTGACCAACACGGACCTAGGGCAGTCAGCAGGCGTCCATCCTGGTAGAACCGTTCCACGTACAAGCTCGTACATGGCACATCCGATCATGTTCTCGGCGATGATGACAGGACTGGACGGATCAGTATGCGACTCGAGCGCTGCGCTGCGATGCGGTGACGTACCCGGAAATGGAGTAGATGGCGCCTGTATGGAATTAGCGACATGTCCTATTGTTCCCTACGTCCAAGTGCAAAGTGTTCAAGCTTACCATGCTCCTCGCCCTCCGACTTCTGCTCCTGCTTCTTCTGTCCTTTCTGCGCGCGTGGATTAGCTGCCTGCCCCAACCCCGTCTCTATAGCTGGTAGTGCTTACGGGAGGCATCTTGGGTGCTGGTGTCTCCTTCTCGTCGTCGCTGGCTTCTTGTAGGGTGATGTGCGGCGGTGGCGGCTGGGTGGGAAGCTCGCCTTGTGGTGATATCAGCGGGCTCGCGGGAAGCGGCACTCGGTGTGGCTCAACGTCGTCGTGGCCGGCGGCGGTATGAGCTCCAGATATCGAGATCTGGTCAATGTTCTTCTTTTGGACTAGGTCGTATAAAGATGGCCGTGTTCGCAAACGAGGACGCAGACCGAGTTGCATTCAATCGATCAACGATGTTGGATGCAGGTTGAGGTTGAGCACGGTCGACAAGCTAAGCTGCCACGCTAACGTCTGGTGGGGGCATTCCTTGTCATCTGCCTGCGAGCTCCCCAGATATTCGTGGACAAGGACAACAGCCGTCATGTAGTTGAAGACCTCTGTTCGGAACACATGGTAGGCTTTCTGTTGAGCAAAACATCACAATGGTAGCAGGGCGAGACATGAACCGTCGACGTTGACATACGTCATAGCAGAAGCTACATCCCGTCTTCGGTAAGCTACATAGTGTTTCGCTTGCTGTTCCCCAGCCCCTTCATGAGCCTCTTCATCTCTTTGGTCGTAGCGAACGCATCCGACTCAATCAAGGTGTCGCGCCTTCCGCCCCTTTGCGCCTTCTCCACGTCACCCTCCGTGCCTCCACTGAGTAGATGCAATCCGGTCAAGGTTCTGCATGTCCGCTCGTCGTCCGCCGCGGTCATTGGTTGCTCGGACATGATACCTGGCAGGAAGCGTGCAATCAGAGGCTTCATGACAAGCAGCGATCCGCAGATGATGGCGACGTTAACCTCGATAGTCGAGAAAATTATAGCGTAGGTACCCGCCTCTGCAGTCGTGTCAGCGTACACCTGATATCGGATCTAGCGAGGCCATACTTGTGACTTCACCGTCATTCGCTGCGTCATGTACCAGCACCAATCGTAGCAGTGTTATGATACAGACGCTAGAATCGAAGTCAGCAGATAGCTTTCTATCACAGGGAATGGAGGAACACACAATCCACCAAGCCCAAAGACTGCGACCAGTCCAAGCTTCTGCCGACTGGGCAAATTCAGCTTCCCAATTACGGGAATAGGCAGAACCCAAATGGAGAAGTCGAGTACGAGACCGATGATGCTCGTTGACCAGAAGTGGTTTTCTTTGTTCATGCATTTCCCTGATAGCGTGACATTCCAGTAACTCTGCACAGGCTCGCAGAGAAAGATGTTACCGAAGATGCCCCAAGCCGTGGCACCGAAGACCAGAATAAGAAGCACGTTGCAAATCCAGACGATCTGAGGGATGACTAGGAAGAGGCGAAGATATTGTACCAGAAATGAGGCTTTGACAAGGTTACTTGCCAGGTGGTAGAGGATAGTCTGGGCGAGAACAAGCTACCAACAGTCAACAGTGTACGAAGCCTAATGGATATCACCCACCTTCAGCATAGCAGCAAGCGAGGGTGATTCAAGGCCCCCTTGCTTCAGATCCTCTCCGTCGATGCTGAACTCTGTATTGCAGTCAGCTTTTTCTTCATCATGCAATGTTCAATTGGGTGTCTTGCGTCCAGCAACTACGGCCGAGAATCCGATGGAGAACACCTGCGAGAATCAGAATGTTGCTTTAAATACTGCCCAGATTACTCGTGCTGGTTACCATGGCTGCAGTGACGATGTAGTCTTCCGGCATAACTGTAGTTGATGTTACTCGGCTGCACCATCGCAAGCCCACCACAAGTGAGGCGATCGCAGTGAAGATCACAGTAGGAATCAAAGTCTCATATCGTATATCCGCTGTTGCCTTTGATCTCAGGACGAACCAACTTGGAGATTGATCGTGCATTTGGTGAGGAAACGATGGGATCGTTGAGTGGAAATCAAAATGAGCGCTTTCGGCGTTTGCAGAACAGCAAGGCGATTGTCTTCTGGAATAAGTGTCCGAAGTCATCAGCCGCATTCCTTTGTGGGCACATGCAAACGCGGGCTGGACCAATCTACACGTTCCTGAGGGGCACTGCAATTCTGGTCGCTATGATGCCGCAGACCCACTGTGATAGCTCCTAGCCAAATATAAGCTCAGCTGGGGGGTAAACCATGGTACCTAGGAACTGTGCATAAGGGGACAGAACAAAGATCGTTCAGCACCTCAGTTCAGAGAATATTCGAGTATGTACACAGCTACTTCCCAAAACAATGAATAAGTCAG